GGAGAGTCAAAGTCCTGCTGGTGTTGAACCTCATCGCCGTGGCTGGCTTCGTCCTCTTCCTGGCCAAGTGCAGACCCATCACGGCCAAGAGCGGAGACTCCTTCCATGACATCCATCCCAGGGCAGAAGTGGCCAACTCGACAGCCCACGGCGGCAGCTCCATCCAGGATGCGGTGCTGAAGAGGCTCTCGCTCCTAGAAGACATAGTCTACAGGCAGCTGAATGGTAGGAATAGTTCTCCTGCTTTAAATGCCTTTTGGGAATGGTCGTGGGTGGTGAATCGAGGCTCAGAGCAGGTGCCCGGCTCGCTTGAAGTTCGCATGCCAGACCCGTGCTTTTCTCTGTGTTATTGTGCAAACGGGGTCTGAATCAGTTTAGCACCTGATTTCCAAGTTCCGTGTGTGTTTAAAGCCCGGAGTACCTTGCACAGGATGGGAGGAAATCGTAATAACAGAATGCTGCCTTTGAGATTTAGAGCAGCGGTCAGGAGATGACAGAGGCACGATTTCTGCATCAAACGAGCAGGGTGTGCAGTGGGCGAACATGGGTTGGAGGAGCACAGTGTGTATTGATTGAGGGAATGGCTTTTACTCCTCCGGAGTTGGGTTTTTGGAAAGGAGTTTTTAAATGGCTCAAGTGTGTTGCATCATTGGAGTGCAGAAGGTCAGAAAGCAAAGGCACTTTCTCTGTGAAGTTAAGCAAAGTATTCAGTATTTCCTATGGCTCGGCACTGACGACTGCTAATTAAAATCTCAAGTAATGCTTCTCTTTATAGCACAGCAAAGGGATTTCTATTAAAATCTCACCAGGTTCAGTAGTTCCGAGATGTCAAAAGGGAGTTTTAAAGATGCTGTGCAGGATAGAGAAACGCATTGTAAAGACATAAGAAATCTGGCTGAGGTATCTCATTAAAACACTCACCGTGGAAGCTGATTTTTTTCAAGTTGTTCCCCATAGATTCCCAACTGGGGTTGGTCTCTGAACCAAGAGTCCTGTTTATTGCTTCCAGCCTCTGTAGCTTTAACACCTGCAAGTTTTCTAGAGTCAGAATTAGCAGAGTTAATGTTTTTTTGGCCATGTCCGTGTGATTCCCTCTCTGAGTTTTGAATATGGAGCTGATGCTGTGCCCCGAGTGCTGAACCCGAGCTCGTGCTGCTCTGACTTGTGCACCCGGGAGGTGAGGCAGGTGCAGGGACGCAGCGTGCCCTCCCTGTGCCAGTTGGCAGTGCCCTTCCCTGTGCCCAGCCTTGGCTCAGTCACTGTCTGGGCTTTGGGGATGGCACTGGGCACAGTGAGAAGTGGGAAAGTGTTATTTATATTCCTGCCTTACACACTCGCATGAGGAACCCGTCCTGCCTGTGCCCGGCCCCACGAGATGTTGGAGCAACACTGTTGGCTGACAAACGTGGTGAAGCGTAAGAATAACAGGGAATAAGGTAGAAAGCTGCATGTTATTTATAATCAAACCGTGGAACTGCCTGCTCCTGGATTTGCTAGGGCAGAAGTTGCTGGGGAGATCTAGGCAGTTATTTAAAAACAGGCAATAGCTGCGAGACAGGAGCCCTCACACCAGGACCTTGGACTAGGACAAGTAATCATGATGCAGTCTGCCCTTCCCACAAATACACAGGGAGAGCTGAAGTGATAAGATATTGCCCTTCCTCGGTGGCTCCCTGCTCTGTTGTGCTCTGGGGGCTGCTCTTGGGGCTGGCTGGGGTTGTGAGAGGAGCTGGGAGCTCAGGACAGCTCTGTGCTCTCCTCAGGCTGCTCTGGGCACGGGGAGCACGTTCTGGTGTTGTACTGGAGCCTGCTCAGCGCCGAGGAGCAGCGATGCACCTACAGACCAGGGGAGGCAGAGAGGGAATAGAGATCTTGCCCATATCACAGACGTTTTCCTAGGGCAGGCAGAAAGCTGAGCACATAAATGTGACATCTTGTCTGGCCTCTGCATCCTGGGGTGATTTATAGCAACACTGATCAGTCTGGCTAAAAAAATAGCTCTGGCACAGTGCTTATGTAACTTTGGGTCAAGTGTATCTTTGGCACATGTGGTTTTGAGAGGAGCACAATGTGCCCAGTTCTCTGAGTGATGTCTGTGTGTTGTGCTTCAGCAGGACAGGGGTTCAGAGCAAGATGTGGGGGCCAGGTGAACCCCCCATCACCACTGAAAGGGAACAGTGACCTGTGCTGGGACAGTCCCTGGGAGCGGCTGGTCTGGCTCCCCCGCCAGGAATTTTCTGTGCCTGGATCATCATTCCTTCTGGGCACTTGAAGAAAACCTAAAGCTGAAATCCTGCTGCCCCCTTGGAGTGTGCAAACATGAGTTCACTCCTCCTCTTTGATTTTTGGCTGGGGGAGTTGTGTGCTGGTGCCTCACCAACCCCACCTGAGCTCTTGGCCAAGCCCCTGCAGAACAATCCACCCAGAGGTTGTGTAAGGTCGTATATCACTGTAAATCTGACCCATGGTTTAGCACAAAATCGTAAAATATAGTGTCCTGTAGTGCAGCATGTGGAAAATCTGCACCTTGGGAAGCATCAGGAAGCGTTTGGCCGAAGAGAGAAACTACCCCCCAGTTTGGGTGCAGCCAGCTATGGATTTTTTCTGCATTATAGGACTTGGCTGGGTTTCAGTGAGAGTTGAAGCCATCTTTAAAAAACTGAATCGCTTAAAAAGCTCCATTCTGTAAAGATTAAATGAGCAATCTGATCATACCATTGCTGTGGGTTTGGTTTGTGAGTCATGTAGTGTAAAGCATATTGGAAATAACAGCCCTCTGTGGTACAGCAACCCTCATGTTTTATGTGTCTGTATTTATTTATCTCTGTAAACATTGGCCGTGAAAACAACCTAAACAACACTGCCTTGGGCCTGGTAAAGGAAGGATTTGACACAATCACTCTTTTTGAATGACAGTTCTCTGGTGGGCCATCCTGGAAATAACACCAGGCTGCCTCTCACTCCTCTCTGCAAGAAGAGCTGTCCCAGACATGACCCAGCCTGCCTCCCACGATGCCTCCTCACTTCCCAGATGATGCACTTTGCTGGTCTCACAGAGTTTTGGAGTTAACTTGGGTAGCAGTGCACAAACCTACACTGTGTCAGCCACTTGTTTCACATGGGGGTTGAAAGAGCACCCCGGGAATGCTCCACAGGATCGAGGAGTCACCTCAGCAGGCACTGGCCTGGTGCAGTTTTCCCCTCATTCTAACTCATGAAGTACCCATGAAAAGACTTGGGTTTGCCCCAGATTGTCTATTTAGTCTACTTGTGGCCTGATTGAGAACTGTATGTGTGCTTTGTTCATTCTAGAAGTCTATTATTGCTCCCTAATTCATTGCACAAGTTGTGTGGGGTTTGCTTTTTGCTGTTCTGTTGCTTTTTGCTGCTCTCTAATCAGATGGCTCCCACACACAGAAGGACGAGGGTGCCCTTTGAAATGGAGGGCTTTGTATGTGCAGGCACTGATCTGGAAATTCAGAGGATTTTTAATTTCTGGAGTCACTTTTATGGCTGGAATTCTCTTGTTCAGCAGATGTTCAGAGAAAGCTAATGAAGGGCAGAGAGGAAAGTGTGTATTTTACTTTGGGTATTAGCTACAACTTGTCTTTTTGATCCAAACCTATTTTTTCTGTGTGCTGACATTTACATAAGTACAAATTGTGGTCCAGATTATCTCCAACTTTATGGAGATTCACACAAATGAACTTTTCAGTTTGTTGCTGTGTTTGCAAAGAGAGGGTTTCTGTGCTTGTGTGACCGGGTAGGGAGTGAGGAGCTGGAGGGAACAGACTCAGGAGAGAGCACCCAGCTTTGGCAGGAGCCATGGGCTTCCTGGGAAGGGCTGGGCAGAGTCACAGAATCACAGAGTACTCTGAGTTGGAAGGGACCCACAGGGATCAGTGAGTGAATGGCCCATATGGGATCAAACCCACGCTCTTGGTGTTATTGGCACCATGCTCAGCCCAGCTGAGCTCATCTCGGGGTCTGCCTTTATCCATTCCCATTCCTCTGGGGTCATGTGGGAACCCATGAGTGACCATGAGGCGTTTGAGAAACTGGGCATTTACAGGATCCTGAGACAGCAAAGGTGGGCCAACTTTCTGGCATCAGACTGGCCTGTAGGATGAGTGCCATGGCTGGAGGAAAGCTGATGTTTGTGTCATGTGTACAAAGACACTGCTCACTGTGAGACCCCTCAGTGGGATGGGTCCCTTGCCTGTTGTGTGGTGAGAAGTGGCTCCTTTCCCTTCCTCCCACAGGGAATTGCCCAGGTAGCTTTTGAGTGGCTTCCTTGAGCTCTTGCATTACCCTCTTCCACCTCCCTTCATGCTCTTGAAGGTGTCCTGGATCCCACCCTGGCATGGGAGATGTTCACAGCAGGGCAGGGTGTGTTTACCCCCCTCCTAGGAGGAGAGAGGATGAGGGTGGGGATGCCCTGGGCAGGAGGAGCTTTGGGAAGTTGGACCTGGCTGGGTGGGATGTGCAGGGTCCCTCAGCAGGTTTCCTTATGTGTACAGGGTCCCTCAGCAGGTTCCCTTATGTGTGCAGGGTCCATCAGCAGGTT